TCCCGAACCCTCAACTTGCAAATGTCTTAGCAAAGGGTCCTATTTGATGGAAATGTTAGTTCGGTTGTTAATTTTTCAGAATTCTTTTTTCTTTCTCAATGTAATAGACTTGAATGAAGTGAAATTAAATAATTCGAACGATTTAATTATGATGAAATTTATAAGGAAAACAATAGGTTCTAGCCTTTCACAAAAAGATAATTAGAATTCTCAATCTACCAAAATTAAGGATTTGCAACTCTAACCATTTTATTGATAGTCAAGCTCCGTTTGAATAGAAATTGTTAAAGTAAGATGTAAAGCATACTTAAACAATCTCTATGAGAAAAATACAAATGAGAGAGAGAGAGAGAGAGGAGGAGGAGGAGGATATGCAATCTTCCTTAATTAATGTGAGGCAAGACAAATGTTCCCATAGACTAAAGAGATTGTTTACCATCAAAATGACAAATCTACCTTTCAATCACTAGACATTCAAGTCCAATAAAGTTAAGTATAATTATAAAAAGAATGCTATTTGTAATCGCTTATTACAAGTTTACAACAGTCGTCCTACATAACATAAATGTATCGGTTAGTAATTTGATGCATTATTGTTTTAGTTTTTTTATTGCCTAATATATTGAATCATTAAACACCACACATATGTCACATAGAATAACTGTGACAGTGAGCGACTGCAAGTAGTATTATTCAATTATAAAATGTTAAGGTAGGGATTATGCTATATCAGTGTTAAGGGGAAAAAAAAGTAATTAGAGTACAAAAAAATGTGTATAAAATTTGTTGTTGGAGGGTTAAAATCCGTTTAGTCACACAATTGTTACTATTTTGTTTTTATTGTCTAGCAAAATAAAGTATGTATTATTGGACAAGTTAAGCATAATTAATGTACTTATTTGGATGACAAAATTTATGTACTATCAAGTTCTCGTGTCACATTATTAATTCCTTTAATTCATGAAGTATATAGAGAACTTAAGTTAGAATGAAAATGAAAGTTTAAGGCTCTTG